AATATGCAACATTAATACACTGAGGGGAAAAAAGTACATGATTACCTCAATAAATATAGAAAAATCATGTGATCCAATTTGAGAGTCCCTTTCTTTCAGAAACACCTGTCAAAATATTTACAAATTAAATTATATAATAAATGAGATTTGCTTTAAAATAATCTGGACTAGATGAGGGAGTGGGTGGGGATACAGATGAAACATGCTGTCCTTGTATGGAAATCTGTTACATCATCTTTCTACTTTTATACATGTTTGAAATTTCTAAAATTAAAAATTAAAAAAACAAAGAGATGGAAAGACATATTAGTGGGATACTTTTAAAAAAGGGAAGAAAATTAGAAAAGATATGTCAATATAATACTAAATTGACTTTAAGGCAAAAAGTATTATTAGTGATAAAGAGAGTAACTATATGAAAGAAAGAATTCATCAGGAAAATATGATAATGCTAAATGTTTAGTCTTTACTTATATAGTCTAGAAATATATAAAGCAAAAAATAACAAGAAGAATTTTATAAAGTCATGATGGGGGATTTTTATTATTGTTCAAAAATTGATTTGTTAGGCAGGAAAAATAGTAAGAATATATAATATTTGAACACCACAATTAACAAGCTTTAGGTAATAAACATACTATGAACACATATAGAATTCGCTTATTTTTTAAGGACATTTGAAATATAAAAAATTGACCATTGGGCCACAGAGCACAAGTAAGAAATATTTTAAATTTGATTTTATATGGACCATTTATCTCATCCAAAGCAATTTTTAAAAAGTCAGAGACCAACAAAGAGCACTTAAAAATCCAAATATTTAAAAAAAATTTTAATCACTCATTTGCAATTATAGATAAAAAATAAATCATAGATATTGGAAAATATTTAGAACTGAATATAACAAATATGCTACACATTAGAGCTTCTGAAATGTGAGTAAAGTTGTAAATAGAAAGAAATATATACCTTAAATGAATTAGAATTGAAAATCAATAAACTAGTTTACTCAAGAAATAATAAAAAGAACCACTGAATAAACCCAAAGAAAGTAAAAGAAAATAGAAAGTCATAAGATTATAAAAGGAAACAGTAAAGAAGATCAATAAAATAAATTTTCTTTAAAACACTCAAAGTAAACAAAACTCCTGGCAAAATTGGCTCTAGAAAAAAAAAGAATGAAGGTAAAAATAATACTGAGAGTGCAAAAGTGGATATAACTGAAGATGTAATAGAATTATTTTTAAATCAAAGGAGAATACTAAGAACAGCTTTACGTTAACACATCAGAAAATAGGTGAAAATACTTTCTAGAAAATACAAGTAAAACTAATTTAAAGAGAAAACTCGAACTTACTGTTAATGAAATAAAATTAGTAGTTAAAAATCTACCCACCAAAACCAACAGGCCCAGAGCCTTTCACAAGTAGACATCTCCCAAACCTTCCAAAACACCTAATCCTTACACAGATGGCAAAAGGAAAGCTCTCCAGTTCATTTATGAGACTAATGTTTTCTACTTCCTGAACAATTCAGTGCTAAAGCCCTTAAGTAGAACAGAGCAAGATGGGGGGGGGGGGGGGGGCAGGGATTGAAAGGCAAAAGCCCCAGAGTGGGGTGTTGGAGCCCAAGCACTGTGAGGAGGATTTATGCCCAGAAGGGCAACTCCTGGGGAGCAAAAGGCATCCCCATGTGGGAGGGTGTGGCAGCCAGGATAGGAGATTGGTTATTTACAGAGGGATGGATCAAATAAATAAATATTATAAGGATAATAGGATCTGAGTTTCTCACTGTTGGGGAAGATAGGTATAAATACAGGGGAGAAAAACTAGAATAAACACTGTGGTGTTAGAATAGAAATGTTATCAATGTAACCTCATGGTTTTCAGTAGAAGATAAGATAGACGGACAGACATTTCCTAACTTTGTCATCTAGAGGTCTACAAGCAATAGTACTTCCAGGAGGCATTAGCAAACCTTGCAACCTTGTTTCTAAATTCCAATCTCCACTGAAAGGAACCAGAGCTCTTTGGAGACGTGACCAATTACAGGTCTGGGGCAGGGAAAGTTCAAGTTAAGGGTAAATGATCTTTCTGTGCCAGATAGTAAGGAAGTGCCCAAAGAATGATGGGGCATGTTGAAGACACAAAAACCAGCTTTAAAATGCTCCCATTGGCCAAATCAGGGACAATTTGAGTCTCAAAATAATGACAGCAAAAGATTATATGCCACGAGTCTACACAGACAAAAATAGGTAAATAAATAAATTGAAAATCTGGTAATACAATATTTAGAAAGTCTCAAAGTATCCCCACATAAGTTACTTGTTTATTACAAAGGGAAAGGGAAAATTTCACAGTGAAGAGGAATGGTAGAAAACTACTTTAACCAAAGTGATCGAAGTTACAAAGTAACATGACAAATTGAAATTTTGTGCCACCGATAGGATTCAAAAAGAAAAAACACTGCATCATTTGTATGATATTTCCACCAAAGATGCATAACTTGAATCTGATCTGAAAGAGCAGACAAACTCCATCTGAAGGATGTTCTACAAAATAACAAGCCTTTATTCCTCAAGTGTCAAGATCAAGAAAGTCAAGGCAGGACTGAGGAACTGTTTGCAGACTGAAGGAGACTACACAAACATAACTAAAGGTACTCAAATAGTTCAAAGAGAAAAAAAATTCCTTGCACTGTGCTTGCAACTTTTCTGTAAGTTTGACATTGTTTCTTAATAAATAAATAAATGACAATATAGGAAAATTACAGACTAATTCCCCTATGACCAAGGATACAAAATATATAAATTTAAAGCAAATAAAAAATGCATCATCAGGGGCCAGCTCCACGGCTGAGCGGTTAAGTCTGCGTGCCCGAGGTTTAAGTCTGCGTGCCCGAGGTTTCGCCGATTCCAATACTGGGTGCAGACCTAGCACCGCTCATCAAGCCAGGCTGAGGCCTCATCCCACATAGCAGAACCAGACGGACCTACAACTGGAATATACAACAATGTACTGGGCGGCCTTTGAGGAGAAGAAGAAAAAAAGATTGGCAACAGATGTTACCTCAGGTGCCAATCTTAAAAAAAAAAAAAGCATAATCAAAAATAAGTGTTTGTCCCAGGAATGCAAGAATGGTTAGACATTAGATAAATATACCAGTGTTATTAGACTATACTTTACCTAAAAATATACCAGATTTACTGAGTAAAAATAAAACTTTAATCACAGTAAATGAGTAAGAGCATGTTACAAATTTTAAAAGCCAGTCATAAGCTTTCTAAACATCTCTAAGCAAGTTAGGAACAGGAGAGAAATTAACCCAATTAAAGATATTTATGGCAGAAAAAACTAAGAGTAAACAATACACGATGCAAAACTTTACAAACTATTTCCTTTAAAATCAGGAACAAGGAGGGGCTGGCCCCGTGGCTGAGTGGTTAAGTTCGCGCGCTCCGCTGCAGGCGGCCCAGTGTTTCATTAGTTCGAATCCTGGGCGCGGACATGGCACTGCTCATCAAGCCACGCTGAGGCAGCGTCCCACATGTCACAACTAGAAGGACCCACAACGAAGAATATACAACTATGTACCAGGGGGCTTTGGGAGAAAAAGGAAAAAAATAAAATCTTTAAAAAAAAAAAAATCAGGAACAAGGAATCAGGAACATGCTAGAGGCCTGCTGTCACTACTTCTTTTCAATAACGTATTGCAGTTCCAGCCAATGCAAAAAAAGACTAAAATAAAGGGTATAAGAATGGGAAAAGAAGAAAAAAACCTTATACTATGATGCTACAGAATTACAATAGGATGGTGTTGGCAAATGGACAGCAAAGAAACAAATTCCGTTCTGGCCATAATTTTATTTATATATGAGACACTGCTACATAATATAAATCAGTGTGGAAAGGATAAACTATGAAAAATTGGTGCTAGGGAATCCACATAAGAAAAATATGAAAATTATACCCATGCCTCACATAAATCATACACAAAAACATAAAAACATAAATATGAAAGTCAAAACTTCGAACGCTTACTAGAAAATATTAGAAAATATCTACAATATTAGGATTAGGGAGAATTTTTTAGCACTACACAAAAAACACAGCCCTTAAGACTGGTGATTTTGACACATTAAAATCAAATCATCTGTATGACCAAAAAAAAAAAGGTGAAAATGTGAGAAGGTATTTGCACTAGATACAGCAGATAATGGATTGATATGCAGAACATATATTGATGTTCAATAATACAATGGCCAAAAAAAAGGCAAAAGATAAGAAGAAAAGATGCTTAACGTCACTAATAAGAGATGCAAGTTAATACTACAATAAATTGTCACTACATACACACAGAATGGCTGGAAACGCCAAATTTTCAGATCTGGAACTGAATCTCAAAAACAACGGTGAGTGAAAACAGCAAGTTGCAAAAGGATACAGTATAATACCACTTATAATAAAAGCTCACAAACTACTACTATATATTGTTCATATATATAGTAAAAGTATATCATACAATGGCATGATAGTCAAGCTTTCAACACCTCTGGGAAGGGTGAGAAGAAAAGATAGGACTAAATTTGGTCTGTAATGTTTTAAATTCAAAATCTGAAAGTAATAAATCGTTGATGGTAAATTAACATCTCTATGAGAAAAGTGTAGGAGAAAATATTTGCCTCAGATGTAACTAACTGATAATGACAGTGGGGTTATGATAATTTTCACCATACAGATAAAAATGCCAGTATTAGAACACACCAGAGGGGAAAGCAGTCAGTGAGGTAGAGACCAGTACGCAGGATGCTTAGCCAGAGGTGATCTACATACGAAAATAAAAAGCAAATCAGCAACACCTTCAAGGACACACTATACTCTCCATTGATGACATAAATGCAAATTTCAATTCAACAGAATGAAATAAAACCCAGGAAGCTATCACAATCCTCCATACGCCACACCCCCACCAGAGACTCTTCTAGATGACATTTAGTCCAGTGTTGATCAAGTCCACACTTTTATTTTGAGCTAAAGTATTTACCTCATTTCATGGTTAATTTGCAGTACCTGCTCCCAAAACAATTACACTTATTCACCCACTGAATCTCCGCACATAAACAAAATTTTGCCAGAGGCTATGGCGGAATACAATGAGAGAAGACAATGAGCTCTTTACTTTGGGCTCATTTAATCCATATAACAAACTACGATATAGGTGTTATTTCTCCCATTTTACAGATGAAGAAATTGAGATTCAGAGAGCCTAAAACCTACCCCAAATCTGCTGACATAGCATGAGCCATAACTCAGTTTGTCAGACAACCTCAAAAACCATATCCTATTCACCGTACTTCAATGACCTCCCAAAGCCCAGGGGAGATGTTACTCTAACTTCCCTGCTCTTATGTTCTATGCGAGCTATACTCATTTTATACCATGAGTTGTTTTCCCATAACACCACACAACAGAGTCAGACGAGAACACTGTCATAACTGTTGAACCAGTAATTCCCATTGTAGGAATGATTTAGAACAAGATAATGAAAGAAACCTTAAAAAAATTAACTACTCTAGATCAAGGAGAATGAAAAACAAATTTAAAAAATTTAAGGAACAAAATAACACCTACAATCCTCCACACCAGGCACTGTGCCAAGAACTGTACAAATACTTCTGTATCTGATAATCACACTACCACGAATAATACAGGCATTTCAGCCCATTTCACAGGTGAGGAGACGTCTGTAGACAAGTAAGCAACCTGCCTAAATTCATGTAGCTAGTTATGTGGGGCCCGGTCGCATGGTTAATCATTAAAGACTCTATCAACTTTTTTATGACACAAAGTAAGAAATATATTTTACACCATGATCCAATACAAAACACTATTTACCTTAATAATATGTAGCAAAAATTCTTTTTTTTAAGATGGTTTTGAATCAAACTAATTTCTCATGACTCACGATTTAAAAAATGCACAATGCTTAATTGCTTCAAAGATATATTTATTATAACTATAGTAGGGAAAAACTAAATGGAAATAAATGGTCAGCCACAGAGCTGAGTAGTAATTATGAATGTAAAACACTGTCATTCGGAGAAAATGCCATACACTACTTAGAACGATGCATAATGCTTATATACATAGAAAACACATAAATAAAATCGCTGTGTCAAGGTAAAAAAGAATATAGGTAACTACTTTTTTTTTCAACTTATAAAGACTTTCATTATTCTTTACAAACTGGGGTAGCTGGTAGTTTAAGAGGCCAGATAATAGCCACCTAGCTTTTATATTCTAGACACCAAAGCAATTTACTGATGCGCCTTTCTTAAATATCTGTTCCAGATCAGGATACGAAGTTTTCCAATTAGTTTTACAAAGCTAGCAAAGTTTTTATACCAAAAAATACAGACAGTAAAATCAAAACGAAATAAATCCTCCCCTATTTTCATAAACGAAAATTTGCAACCAATTTATATTAACAGAAGTTTGCAAACACATCCTAAAGCTACACACATTTAAGCGTTACAGAAATATGTTCCCCCGCCCCCAGCCCTGTGCCCTTGGCCCTTCCCCCAGGAGTCCCTGAGAATCTCTCAGATTCAAGAGGACGGGGCTGGGCCACCCGTCTCAGGCCTGGCCCTGGCCTCCTCATCTGCCAAAGCCTCACAGTACTGCGCTGGCCAGTCCTTGGGGTCTTGATTGTGGACTTTGGCCACAAACTTAAGAACTTTCATCTTGCTGGTCTCCAGGTTGGTTCGCGGGCCCCACTGGAACTCATAGTCCACGGGGTCAGTGTGAGGTATCCGCCGGTACTCCAGGTAACGCTGCCGCACAAAGTCTTCGGTAATCAGTTTCTTTGGGTCCCCAAAAATTAAATGCTTCTTTGTGGGGTACACCCCCAGGCGACGCAGGAAGTCCCACACTTCGGTCTCCTTGATGGTGTTACCCTTCATGAAGATGAGCCCCAGAACAATCATCAGCAGGCCGGTGGTCGGCGTGCCCTGGTCGCCTCTCACCTCGGCATCCTCCTCCACGGGTTCCAGCGTGTTGATGAGGATGTAGGAGTTGCTCTTGGGTTCCAGCTCCACCAGCTTGTACCCGAAGACGTACTCGAGGCGCTGGGCGGCCAGTTTGAGAAGGTCCGGGAAGATGTCCTTGTAGTCCCCGACGACGTGCTTCAGGATGTCCGTCCGCTTGATCGGGATCTTCTTCTGGTCCTTAATCAGCAGGAACTGCACCAGCTCCGCCACCTTCAGCTCCAGCTGCTTCTGGGAGCGGGGCCCCACCGCGGGGGAGGCCTCGGCCCGGCGGCCGCCCTGCGACGAGGGGCAGCGGGCTTCCTGCGAGCCGCCCGGGCCGCGGGAGGTGCTCGGGGCCTCCTCGGCAACACCGCCTCTCGGGGCCCGGCCGTCTCCGCCGCGGCCCCCCTCCCTCACCCTCTCGGCCTGGGCGCTAGGGCGGCCCCGGCTCCTCGGCTTCTGCAGCATGTCACCGGCGGCGGGGTCCGGCGCCAGCGCGGAGTCCAGCAGGCGGGCGGCTCGGCGTAACGAGCGGCAGCGGTAGAGCAGTGCGCGGCGGGGATTGTGGGTCGTCGCGCGGCACGTCGGGGCGGCCGTGGGCGGGGCCGGAGCGGCGCGCGCTGCGTCACAGAGGCGGCGCGCTGCGTCACGGAGGCTGCGTCGCGAGTCGGCGGGTCCCTGCGCGTCTGAAGAAAGAAGCAGGGTCCCTGCGCGGCCCTGTGGGTCGCGTTCGTGAGTTTTATTATAACTGAAACTGCCGTGTTTACCAAACCGTACAAATAGAGAATAGGAGTCTGAACTCGTAAACTAGAGTGCGGCTGAGTTCACAACCGCACAGGCTCAGGCAGGTACTATAGAAAGTGAGTATTAAAAGGTTTAAAATGGGGAATATTTTTAGACGGAGGCAACTCAAAGGATGAATGTGGGAGAAAAATACGGTGAAGAGGCAGGCAAGAGCGTGAAAATGAAATAAAAGCATTTCTTTCTACCCAAAACTGTATATTAAAAGACCTGGAGGACTCCTAGTTTGCTTTGCCTTCGCGCCTCCCTCCCTTCGCTCAATTTAAGCTCCTAAACACCGGTTACTTTCTCTAAGGTCCCTAATGTCCATTAAAAACGAATGTGGCAAAGAGAGGGCCAGCCTTGCAAGCAGGATTTTCCCTATCTTTTCACTTTCAGGATTTATATCGTATGCGTTAAATTTCCATCAGTTAGAAAACTACGACAAAACCGCCACATAAAGCACGTTTCAGTGGTGTTTTTGTTTGGTCAAGTGAGTTTATCTTTTGGAAAGCACATGCTCAGGTAAACTGCCTTTGGACCCACGACCACGATTTTAGCAGAAATGGGTAAGCAGAATGCTACAAACAGAAACGTGCTCCCTCAAGAGATTACCATTTAATTTTGGGCATCACTGCTCAAGAATTGCAATAATGTGAATCTCTCAAATTCCTTAATTCTTAATATATTAGCCTTAGGGCTCAACGAGAAAGAAAAGAGAACCCAGGGGTATCATCCCTCATAATGTGTGCACTTGGTGTATATATATTTAATTGTGCAACTCTTAATAGCCAACAGAATCATTTCATTAACTCGAACCATCTGCAGTCTGCTGCCAGTACTTACACAGATCTTAGCAAAGGTGTTCCTTTTCTATTTTCTGACTTGCAAAGATGAAACTGAATTTCCCTTTGTCTTTTTAAAGCTACCCAGAAGGTGGGTAAATTCTTCCAAGAACCAAATCAAATTGAGTTCCTCTTTAATGCAAATATATTCAAAGGAAGCAATTCAAAACACATTATTTGAATAATAGCATCAAAACATAACCTTATTAAAATTTCATTAAATGTTAGTAGCATAAAATTGTTGTTTGTAATTCAATATGAAAATGCACTCTGATAATGGCCCTGGAATGGCAGTACTAAATGTAAAATGATATGCCAGGTTGTGATGCAAGTATGCTAAAATCTGGTAAACTATGAGTAATAGCTTTCTGTGCCACACAAGACCTAACAACATATCCTCAAGCATCAGTCTTAATGACAGAAGCCTAGTAAGGAAAACAAATATATCATCAAGACATTCATTTTCTTACAATAAGAAAATTCATCTGCTTCAGTTCCCTTGCAAATTAAAATTTGGACTCAAGTTCAAAGAAACCTCCTGCAATCAAGAATTCTGCAAAATGTCCCTCCAGAAAGATATGTTGAACCTCAAGTTAAAAAAAAAAAAAAAACCAGCAACCAAGAGATAACAGAGAAATGGAAAATAAGATGAAAGGCATTGTCAACAATGTCAACAATTGGGCTGGTTTTTCAGTGTTTTTTCTTACTAAGATAGTCACTTAAATTACCAAGCAGCCCCATAGGTCAAGGGACCCCTGTGACTGGCTGAAAATCAGCAGTGTCAGTCAGTGGCATCTTTTACCCAGAGAGCAGACTGTTATACTCAAAATGGGTGAGAAAAGATACCAGGTTTAAGTCTTACAACACCTCCCTACACTGTGTCCAGAAGAATGCAGGTGAGAAAATACAGACATAAAATGATAGTATTACAATGCATGGAGAAGTCACCCCTCCCCTTTAGATTGACACAGGAAGCCACGGGTGTTTGGGGAAAAATTGTGACGATGATGGTAATAATACTAACAATAATAAATATAAACAACAACAGCTAATGATTATTTCAAAGGTAACGGTCAGACCCTGTTCTAAGTGGTCTACATGCATTACTTCATTTAATCCCCACAACGACCCTCTGAGGCCTGTGCATGTATTGTTTTTCTTCTCATAAATGAAGGAACTGAGGCACAGAGGAGAATTTTAACTGTTTTGAGGTCCTACAGCAAGTAAGTGGTAGATCTGGATCTGAGCCACGGCAGTCTGCCTCCAGAGACTGCTCTTAACCATATGCCGATGCAGAGAGAACATACATGATGTCCTTGAAGAAGTGAAGTTCTGGGAGTCTGATGGACCTAGATTAGAAACCTGTATGACATCCGGAAAGCTACTGATGCTCCTTTCTGTTTCCAAATCAACAAAATGAGATTACTAATCCAGGCTGCAGGGGACGAAGTGAGATAGGTTTGCCAGGTACCTGGCACAGGGCCGGGACAGGGTAGTTGGTAACAATTTGCTTCTTTCCAGGATGTTAAGGAAAATATTTGAGGCCTATACAAAGCTGTATGGAGACAGATGTTTACTGCAGTGAAACACATGTACACAAAAAATCAGAAAAAAGTATGGAAAGAAATATACCAAGATGCTATCAAAGTTATTTTCTTTTAAAAATGAAATTCATTATTGCTTTTCTTGCTTGGGAGATAAATGAAAAATACATTCTCAATGAATCTTAACTTCACAGTGAAACTATGCCATAGCAGTTATACACATTCAAGTTTTCACTAAATTTAGTGTGATCTGAATATGACTTTCATGACTTTTTCTTCAGCCAGCGAAGTAGTAAAGACAAGTGGTGCAAAAGGAAAAATGTTTTCACACACTTTATGTTAATGACCTTAATACTTTTATTACTAGACCCAAAAGAAAAAAAAAAATTCTTAGAGGCAAAGCCTAAGCTAGCTAAGATTTCAAATGCATTGAACAAAAAAATGCCTACTCCCAATTGCTCTTTAGATGTCTCTCAGTAATTAATTGCTTTATTTCATCTCCTTGGTAGCAAATGCCTGCCAAGAAGCTCTAATCATCTTTATTAGCTACTGGATTCTGCATTCACTGGCATTTCTTCCAGAACCAGAAAAAGGTTTTAAATTTTCTGACAGCAACCAAGTGCAAAAAGCAGGTAAGGACGTTTGGAGAAGAAAAGCAATGATAAAAGCATGCAGTCACCATATATGAGTAGCTCTGCTGCCTTTTCCAGTGGAAGAAAGTGGGACACTGTGTAACATGTGAGCAAAGTGGGGGGGGGGGGGCAAGTGGAGCATATACTATTTGGGTGGTGAGATGGCGGGACAAAGAATCCAGATATTTTAATAGTTGCAATAAAATCCCTTGTGTCCACTCATTCATAACAAAGATCCATCCTGGTTAAATTACATGGTAGGACTACCTAGTAACAGTCCCTCATGAAAGAAGACTTTGATCAAATGGCAACAGAGCTTTCCTAGGCTGGTGGAAGGGGCTGGAGAGGCGGGGCTTGATGAGATATTCTTTCCAAGCACTGCTGCCATTTGGCCTAGAAACCTCTTTTTAAGACTCTCTTTTCAAGAAATATAAATCCTCCAGTTACCCAGGGCCTTTTACTTATGAAAATCATTAAGGTCTATTAAGTTACAAAATTACAAATACATAAGGTCTCTATAGTGGCCAGTGCATTTCTTTTTGTTTACTTGTTTTTGCCCCTTTTTCTGCATCCTTTCCCTTTAGGAACTGCCTCTTCCCATCTCCAGGAGAGGTTGGTAAGGCTCTGCCTTCTTTTCCGGGGTGCACATGCTTCAGGCAGCCACAGAGACTGGTTTAGTTGGGAAGTTCAGTCGTCATCCTTTCAGGGGTTCAGATACGTTGTCTTTCCTCAGCTAACAAGCTGAGGGGTGATGTAAGCCTAGCCATCTTTGCCTTTGCTTGGGAATAACCTGCCTCGTGGTGAAGCCAACTCAAAGTAGAACCAAGAGTTGGGATACAGTCTGCTGCTGCCATCTGAATCCGTGGATCCTGAGTTCAAGGTCGAACTCCTGGGGATAACTAGTTACTGGAGCAAGTAAAATCTCCTTCTGCTTTATCTGCTTGGAGTTGTTTCCTCACACCTGAAACTGAACAAATTCTAGCCAAACAGTGTTCAAACCTATTATGCAGGGGAAAAGAGAGTACTAAGAAATGAGACTGTTTCAAAGGAATGGGCTAGACTAGGTTAATATTACCTATAAGGATATTTAAATGTAATGAGAGGTGATCTGAATCCAATTTGACATTACATTTCTTGGCAGCATTCTGTGGTTGAGAAGTTTATGATTTTAGTTGCTGGCAATAAGGGTGGGGAAGAAATCCTGAAAGATTGTTTTCCCGTATAGAACGTACATATGAGCTAATGTAGTGATTTACCTCTGCAGAAAGGAGTTTCAGACAACCTAGAACACCCTTTAAAGCATCTGCTATTCTAGAGTAGCTGTGTTCTCCGTATTTAATTCAAAGCATTTCCCCACTGGTGACGCCATGCAAGAAGACAGAAACCTCATTCTTTTCTTCTAGACTTCACTTTAGCCTAGAGCAGAAGTACACTCACAGGGCAAGGGCACCAAGAAGGAGCATGGACAAAGCTAATACCCAGAGAGGAGAAGGCAGATAGGATTTGAGAAAACTGAGCAAATTGAAAGGGATAATAAATGAAAAGAAATAGAGAAAAATATGAAAATACTGAAGACAGGAGAGATCCCACATATGCATAACTGATGGTCCTGAGGGAGACAAAAATTATAAACAGAAAAATAGAAATAATCAGAGGTACACTAGAGGTGGCTGTAGGAGTCCTGCGGAGATGGTGGGTTTGCATAGGTCCCGTTGTCTCTGATCCTCTCTCCTTTCTAGTTCCCTCCCTTGGACTAAACCAACAACCAGAGCAGGCATGCTTTCAGGGTT